TATTTAAAGTCAGCACTTTTGCTTTCCCCTTCCAGCACACTTTCCTCCCGCCCTTACATGACCTACTTGAAACAGTGAGTTTTAACTTAGACTTGATGAGAGGCAGCTGGTGTTCTGCGTTTCCCTCAGGAACCATAAACACTGAATGTAATCAGGACCCTGGAGGCTGTGACACCAGTCAAAATGGGGAAGTGACTACAGCCACAGAAGCAGGGAAGGAGCCAGACGAGTCCAGCTCTGGGAAGGATGGGGTGCCCCTGACACTCGCCCTGGGAGCAGAGGACAAGGATGTGGAGCTTCGGGGTGCGTGAGTCCGCGGGGTACGCTGCAGTGCTGAGCGGGAGGGCCCATTCCACATACAGAAGCTGCCTTCAGAAAGCAGGTTTCCTTCTGTCCACCCTCTATTCCCAGGTGCTTCTGCTAGACAGTGGGCCCAGTCACCCCTCACTCGGGGACCCACACTACATTTGAATGCAGTGATTTCTCTGTCCATGTATGCATTCTGCATCAAAGCAAGTGAGAGGCATCGGCGCCTGCTTGGCACAGATATCAGAGAGTAGTTTCTATATCCCTAGCCCACCGTGTCTGACATGGAGCTTAGCAGTCATGAAAGAGTCGACGCTGCCGGAAGCTTTGCTTTTGTCCTGGCACCGGCCTTTCCAGAGAGCAGGGTGGGGAGGGAACACTCTGCTCAGTTCTCGTGGAGCCAGTACTTGTGTGTGGCACAATCTGTGTCATATGCAGTGTTCTCTGAGGTTTCTTCTGTAGGCAGAGGGTGAAAACTTAGACTTGATGGCTACAGAATCTCTACCATGTGCTTCTTCCTCTCTCTCCCCCACCCCTTAACAATGCACCAACCACACTACCACACTCAACCAGAAAGCATGGAAAGACTTGTTGTACATGGTCTGTTCGAATGTCACAGTGCCCCATTCCGTGACTTTAAGGACCAGACTTTACCATAACACTGAGTGGCTGATTGACAATTATCTGCCTATGACAGGGAGGTGCATTTTTTGTCACACTGACTAACCAGATAGTTGTTAGACTCTGGTGAGGTGTGGTTTACCAAGGGATCAGTTATTTAAAATCATGTCAACACCCAATTATCATAGATTGGAGATTGATTGTTCCCTTTAAAATAATGCACATTGATCTATTTCTGAAATTCTCCTCACCAAACATAGATAGGCTTTTTTAAATCAGTCCCTGGTGCTGATTGTTAGTGAGCCAGTGTTCTTTGCGCTGCTTCTGGAAAACACAAAGCAAAGCTCCAGGAAGAGCACCCACACTAGCAAGGATGTCATTGTCACTACTCAGCTCTGCCCCAGGTGTGGGGACCACCCTCACAGTGACTGTGGTCCCTACACTGCAGACAACCTCTTCCTGGAGAAGGCCCTGGAGCTCGCCAAGCGCCACGCCAACGCTCTCTTTGACTATGCAGTCACGGGGGACGTGAAGATGCTGCTGGCCGTCCAGCGCCATCTCACCACAGTGCAGGATGAGAACGGCGACAGGTAAGCTGGACCTGGCGTGGTAAGGGTCATCCCAGGGCTGGGGAGTGAAGGAGGTGTTGTAGAAGTGATTGATAAATATCGCAGGTGTTTAGGTAAAAGAGATGCTGCCACGAATCCCCATTCTGGAAGTAACACGGTGCCAGATCTGGTGAATAAAGTAGATGAGAACAGTGTCGCACTTTTATGAGCCTGCCTTTCTTTTGTTAGGTGGTGCACAATGGTGGCAGCCGCCACATTTTTTACCATATTGGTGTTCTGTTAGAGCTGCCGAGCTTGCATCGTCCACCTCCACCCCCACACCACACCCCATTCCTGCAAGTGCAACATAGAGCCACCTGCTTCCTTTCTAAAACAGTTGTCTTCATCCTTTCATTGTGACTTCTAAAGCCATCTCAAAAGCCTGTAAAAATAACAAGGGACAGGAGCCTTCAGATTCCAGGCTTATCCACAACTTTCCAAAAATAGCGTGCACAGGGCTCAGGCCTTTTTTGTGGCTGAACTCCTGGTGCCGTCTTCTAAGTTACAAATGGCAGCCTGATCTGTAGAAAGGGCTGTCCCAGGGATTCAAGCAGAGACCTTTTTCTCTGTCCTCACAGCATAACTGAGGATATGGTGAGACTACTGGCCTCCTGCTGGTGCCACAAATGGCACAAGATACATTTAGAGCTTTGTAATCCAGGTGGTGATCTATAGCATGTGACCACAAGAGACAGCAGTCCACCCAGAGGGACTGCCGCATTGCCAGGGACAGTTTAAGGCCCTGTCACATGGATGCATCCAAGGAATATGGGCAGGCACATGTCAGCAGTGTGCGATGTCCAAGGGACCCAGGGACATGACTCCCATGGGTACATGGAAAGGGAAGCACATCTGGTCAGGACCTGGACACCCCAACAGGCTGACGGGGGCCTTCCTACCTCCGCATAGGGCCCCAGACACATGCAGCTGCTGGAAGAGGCACTTGGGGAGCTCAGTGAAAGTTCTCTTGAGAGTGTAGACAAAGGACAGCTTGGGGTGTGACTGGTTTCCCTCAGCTCATGTCACCTCTGGGTGACAATCTGAATTCTGGGGTCATTAGTCTTGTGGAAAACAAACCAAGAGAACATACCAAGTCTCTGGGTCTGGGTAGTTTCCCAAGGACAGGGGCAGCAGGGGAGGTGGGGAGCTGCTGCTAGGAGATGCTCACTGCTCAAGGAAGTTTTCAGACACCCTGCCATCTGGCCTCCATCTAGCTCAAGAGCCTCCTGTCTGCGTCAGATGTCAGGCTGCTCAGAGGTCACCTACCAGTGTCCCGATTCATGGGGCAGGGATGAAACCCTAAAGCTGCTCTTCTGAAAATGCTCCCAAGCAGTGAAACCAAAGCTCCTTCTGAGACCTACCTACTCGAGGGGTCCTTGTGTTCTCAGGTGCAGGGTGGCATATGTGTCCCTCTTGCAGGATGGTCAGGGTGAGGACTGTCCAACCCCATGTCACCTCTGCTCAGAGCTACAGGACCCTGATGAGTTAGGTTACACCTCAGCTCCTTCCATCAAACATGAGTGATGACAGGATTCCCTTCCTCCAAAGAGGTTGGGATAACTTCAGTCGAATGCTTAGCACAGTGTGGTAACTAGAGATACTCAACAGTCTCTCCTTTATTGATGATTGAATTATTTCAAGTTAATAGGTGCTTATAGCAGGAGGGACAGCCCAACGTTTCAGAGCTCATTGCCATTGCACCCCAGGTCTCCTTGTTCCACTGTCCCTCCTGGCAGCTGCAGAGAGCTCAGTCCCACAGCACAGGGGTGGGAAGAGGGGACAGCGCCCCTCTGACACTGGGAGTCTAGGGGAGCACTCAGGGTGGATGGTGTGAACTGACAGCAGTAGCCATCCAGGAGGACAGGAGCAGCCCTCCAGGGGCACACTGGAGGCAGCGTGGCTGCTCCCACAGCACTGCACTTGAGTGTTCCTTTCCTGAGAATCAGCACGGCACTGTGACTTGGAGGCGGGCGGTGAACTACATCTTCCTGAGCAGTTCCTGGTGCAGGCTTTCAGTGTGCAAGCACCAGCTGTGTGTCAGCAAGGTCGAGGAAACAGGAGAAAGCACCTGTGAGACCAGCACAGAGGTGGCACTGGGACTTGAGTGTGGGTCCCCTCGAGTGTAACCTCTGGGGCCACATGTGGACACCCCGCCCCCGGGCATGGGTCAGCTCTAAGGACATTGCACATGTTTGGAATAAGTCTGGGCTGAGTCCACCAGGGGGTACAAGAGCCGTGCTGTCTTGGAGTCTGATCATTTCTTCAAAATTTCTTCCTTGGTTCACAAACACCTTAGTAAGTTTTCTGTGCTGTTCCCGTTCCAGTGTCCTACACCTCGCTGTCATTCACCTCCACCCACAGCTCGTGCGAGATCTGTTGCAGGTGACATCAGGTCTGATTTCTGAGGACATCATCAACATGAGAAATGACCTCTACCAGGTAAGCAGAAATTAGCAGTAGCAAAAACACCACCAGACCTCTTTGGAGGTAGATCCAAAAGGCTGCTGAATGGGAACATTATGTTATAGGTCAGAACCCTTTGATATGTGGGTAAAAGTCACCGGACACGGAAATTCAACATCTTGAAGTTGTATTTTAGAGGGAGAATCTAGAATTAAAATGTCACATCTATTGAAAAACATAAAGTTGAAAAATATTAAGCTTGAGAAACCCATCCTTTATCAGAATATTGAGGTCTCCTGAAATGTAATTCAACAACCCCAACACCCCGTATCTATTAAACACAGGGGGTGAAATCAGAACATGAGATGAAAGGCATCTTTCCATAACAGAGACAGCTCCAGGTGAGGGATGGCGGGGACCAGTGCATTGGCCACGCCAGGCTGGCCCAGCAGTGAGCTGCGCCACCTCTGCACAATGCAGAGAAAAGTTAGCAGGCACCCCAAGTGGCTGCCTGGCAGCTCGTGCAAGGTTTAGGGTGACGCAGAGGCTGAAATGGCTTGGCAGGACAGAGGCCAGGGCACAGAGCACCCTGCACGAGCCCTCAGTCCTTAGAACTTCCGATCTTTCCTACAGTCTCACTATAACCATCTCCCAGGCCTGCGAGGTTGGTGTGCAGGGACCCCAAAGGAGGCGCACATGCCTCTCATTTCAAAAGTATGGCCAGCTCTTGATTTTGGTTTTTCTGTGTTTTCGGGGTGCTGGTGTGGGAACCTAGAACCTTGACCAGGGCAAGCACAGGTCTGACATCTAAATGCACCTCTGGCCCACTCCATTGTTGATGATATGAATCATTTTTCTTCTCTTGGTTGAAAATTAAAATAAATTTTAATTATTTTAAAGAAATCAATGTTCATTTATTTTAGCTTTAAAGGAAATTACTAAATTATCTTCCTTATTTTTACTTCCACATATTAAAATGTGATTTAAAAGCCCATGCCACTGCTGAGTACACTCAGTGGGTTTCTTCTGGGAGCAGGTATTTCCTGGTCAGGAAGGTAACTTTCTCACTAAAGACCAGGCAGCAGCCAGCTGCTCCAGCTGTTTGCTTCACTTTCCTGCAAAGGAATCAGGTTGGGGACTTTTCACTGGCTCACGAAAACCCTGTGATGCAGCCTGATTTTATACTTACATTTAAGGGATTCTTATCTTTCAGCTTTCATGCCATTTAGGGGGCTGGTGGCATTTGGAAAGCCACTTGGCTCAAGAAGCTTGATTCACCCAGATTCCTAGACTGTTTTGTTTTGTTTAAACTGTCACAAGTATGTGAATAAAACTAGGACTCATGGCTTCTCAGGCCTCCTTCCAAAGACTACTCTCCAGCCTGGCCTGATGTCCCGTTCAAGGAAGTTCTTGCTTTTCTGTGTTTAAACAGAACCTGCAGGGGACACAGCTCCACAGGACAAGCGACTGCAGTTCGTTCAATGTGGAAGTCCTCTCTGTGTCATTGGGTTAGCTGTATGGAGGCTCCAGGGTGCTAGAGTGAAAGCTGAAAGCCCCACTGTGGCCACTTTGTCCTTCTGATTTGGGGACCTTGGGCAGAACACAGCTCCACTGTTCCCAACTCACATCCCTCTGGTTCTTGGCAGGGACTGTGATTCCCTGGGATGTCTTCTCAGACACACATGTGTGCATGTACTCACACATACACATGTGAGCCCACATACACATATACCCAGTGACAACTTTGACCTGAGAAATTACTAAGATTAGGGACTCTCTTAAAGAGTATCTGATGGTATCATTCTGGACCAAAGAGTATACAGTTCTTTAAGTCATGTGGATTATTTGGCAATTATCTTAAACATCCTCCCCAAATTCCCTCCACTAATCTTAGCACATTTCTGTGGCCATCTGTCATGATCAAATCCTTTTCCCACCCACACTAGAGACACACTCAAAATAGTCCACATGCACAGAGTTAAGCGTTTTTGAAAATCCTCCGTCTAAGCCATGTGTCCTCCTCTTTCCTCTCCTTCACCCAACGTGGACAACCAGCCAGGGTTTTTGATTTGAACTGTTTTGTGTGTTGTTTGCACCCAACATTATCAGGGGGTGTAGGTGCATGTGTTTTTCTTTTATGTTTTAGCCAGTATATTTATGAATATACTGACATCTGTGGCTCTTAAAACAGTGCAAAAGGCTACATATCAGGAAGTCAGAGTGGCTCTCCCTGCAGAATACAAGTCCTTCCCATTATGCAAACACGGAATTTCTGTGTCTGCTGGGGTGGGATTTCTGTAGGTATTGGCTCAATACCCTTGTGCATAGATGTGATTCCCGGCACTGGACACTTGGCCTCTTCTGCCTTCCCTCCTTGGTGCGCAGTCCTGCAGAGAACAGCCATACCCAGGTCCACCCCCGCCCCCAGGTTCAGGTCAAAAGCTCACTCGGGATTCCACGCAGTAATGCCCAACACTGGCTCTTGCAGAAGATCTGCCCGGGGCTCACACTCAGACACAGCATGCAGGCCCACTGTGTCACCTTCCAGGAGCAGTGCTGAGGCTCAACCCAAGGCCATAGAAAGCCTTGGTGGCACTACAAGAGAAAATTAAAGAACAAAACTCTTATGCTAAGAAATTTTCATATGGTGTGAGTAGAATGGTACTAGAACTAAAGTTAATTCCTAATTTCTGAGCAGTGTATCTTACTATTCCTGCTATCATTTACTATCTTATTTACTCTCCACTTCCCATTTCTCATAGCATTTCCAAAAACAGATTAGCAAACAGCCTTTGATGACAGATTTGTTTCTAAGAGGAAAGCTCTTGGCAGTAACACCAAAAGTTTTGAGGACATGATTCCAGAGAGAGATAAGAAGAATTACTGGAGGAGCCAGGGAGATGGTTCAGTAGTGCTTCCCTGGCAAGCGCAAGGGCCTAAGTTCAATCCCCAGTTCCACCAAAAAAAAAAAAAAAAGAGTTACTGGAGGTGGGCAGGGGGGCATCCTGTTCCTGCTGTCAAGTAACCTCTGCCACTGAGATTTAGATGACTGGGCATCATTCACCCTCCCAGTTTCTGAACACCATGGCACCTACACCAGTGAGAACACTGGTGGCTCTGCTGCTTTAGGCAGCCACTGCTCAGGAAAGGGGCTTCAGGCAGAAAGTCACTGGACAGGCTAGATCGCAGAGCTAGGGTCCTGGGAAGCAGACAGATTTGCATGAAAAATGTCACTGTCCTCTCTCAGGGACCTCCATTCTTTGAAAAATACCTTTGTGGTTGTGTTTGCCCTGCTTCTTTTTTTTTTTTTTTAAGAGAACAAGATTTTATTTCTCAAATGCTTGAATCAAGTAGATTCCCTTCCCCATCCTGAAGCACACCATCAGCAGAAGTAATCTAACAAATTAAAACTACATAGTCTATACATTCAACCGATTCCACAGCTTGTACTGCAATAAAAAAAAAAAAATTAAGTGACCAAATCCTCCAACCTTGAAGGTACAGAAGGGTAAAGCTCTCCATTATTGCCTTGCGTATTTTTGAAGACACAGTTTTCAGATCATCTCTCTGGCAATCGCAGAAGCTTTCATCACATAAGCATTTTATTCATGAAGTGCCAGCAAAGCCAGTTTTAGTTTCATCTGAGTGGCCTTGACCTGGTTGTACATATAGAACCCTGTAACACCTTTTGTGAAATGGGGGTAGTAGGGAAATTATAATGATTGGTCTTATGACACTGGTCCCTGGAAGAGTTTTGTTTTGTTTTTTTAATTTAGTAAGCTTGTTTTCTGTGTCAGGAGAAAACGTTGGCACCTTCGTGAATGGTTTCTATTGGGTTTACTTAAATTCTTTTATCAAACCATATCCTTGATTTAATTTGCTAATGTGATCAGCCAGAGACAGATTCTTACTAGAAACCCAAGAAAACTCAACTTAGTGCTAGATGAGTTGAAAATATTATGGCAAATGTATCAAGAAGTGTACTTTGATTTAATATAATTGGCTTACATTTTTTAGTCTGTTAGTCTGGCTGTTAATCTGCATCTATAATTAATTTGACAAAGTCTTTAAAATAAATCAGTAAATCTGATGCTGGCAAAAGAAAAAAAAAAAAATCAACAGTCAGTCTGTGATAGAAACCAAGCCATGCAGAAATCATCCTATGAGTCTAATGATGGAGGGACTATATGTTGGTCCAGTCTGAATGCTTCAGCAGCCAGTGGAAGGAAAGCATGAGCCCCTTTGCAGAAGTCATAGACCCTAGGGACAGGAGACGACCTGGCAGTGAGGCTGCATCCAGAGTAGCCCAGCCACAGACAAGCCCGTTCTCCCACCCTCCATCCACACAGACGCCCTTGCACTTGGCGGTAATCACGAAGCAGGAGGATGTGGTGGAGGATCTGCTGCAGGCTGGAGCCGACCTCAGCCTACTGGACCGCCTGGGCAACTCTGCACTGCACCTCGCCGCCAAAGAGGGGCAGGACAAAATCCTCAGCATTCTGCTCAAGCACCAGAAGGCGGCGCTGCTAATGGATCAGCCCAACAGGGAAGGTAGGAGGCCGGCCGCCAGCGCAGCCGCTCTTCTCGCTTTCTGAGCCAATGCACAGCATTGACCATTGCGCCTCGCGTGACTTTCACCCAGAGTTGTCTCTTTAGTCACCTACAGTTGGCCGAGTCTTGTGGGTGACCTGTTTCTCTCCGTAACACTTTCTCTTCACGGTAGTTTGGGATGGTTACTCAGGAACAAAAGTAGAGACTCATGCTGTGCGTGATGCCTCATGCGTGACGCCCTGTGCGTGACTTCACAGGTCTCAACGCCGTCCATGTCGCGGTGACTAGCAACAGCCTTCCATGTTTGCTGCTGCTAGTGGCTGCCGGCGCCAATGTCAACGCCCAGGAACAGAAGTCAGGACGCACGGCGCTGCACCTGGCCGTGGAGCAGGACAACGTGTCCCTGGCGGGCTGCCTGCTCCTCGAGGTGAGCGGTTCAGCTGCATGGGTGCTAGGGCAAATCCTGGTTGGTAGCTTCAGCTGGATTTAACAGTTCCTCATTGGGCTTCGAGCCACATCTCATGTATCCCCTTCCCAGCCCAGCCGCTGTCTCTGAGAGGTCTGCAGCCCTAGGGCTGGGGCAGTGCAGACTGGGAGGTGGGGACAAGATGAGAGACCCTCTGAGCCTCTTGTATGGTGGGTCTAGGGTGAAGCTCATGTGGATAGCACCACCTATGACGGGACCACACCGCTACATATCGCAGCCGGGCGAGGCTCCACCAGGCTGGCTGCACTGCTCAAGGCTGCAGGTAAGGAGCTGGGGTCCTGGTGGACAGTGCATACCCCTGGGCAACTTGGCTGTGGAAGAGCGATGGGTACCAATGGTTTGGGTAGATGACTGTCGTGTGGCCTGCCCTGCTGAGCTGCCATCTGGACTTGCAGTCCCGCTTCACCACCACAACCATATTTGCTTCCATTCTGATTCTCCTGTTTGCTTCCGGTTTGGGCTGCTTCACCCAACTCCCAGAGGAAATTCTCCAAGTAGAGTTCAATTCCATATAGAATGCTCAGTGGTGCCAGTCTCCACTGGTGTCACAGTCCCAAGGGAAGTAAATCTCTGATGTAGACACATCACTGGGACAGAGCAGACAGCCATGGACAGGGAGTCATTGAGCTTGGTCCTGCCCTCCCTGCACCTCTGACCTGTATGCTGCAACCTGCAGCATTCTCCACCTGTGTCTCCCACTGTGCTCGGAACCACAGGTGTCTTCAAGTGAGCCTGTGTCCTGTGGATGTGGAAGACCACTGGCTCACCTCAGTCCCTGCAGTTTTGGGTGCATAGAACCTTTCCACTGCCCTCACACTCGGACCTTCTGATTTTGTCTTAAAGTTTTAGGAAAGTGAATGCCTCATAAATCCAAGCAATCAGAGCACAGCAAGGTATCATCTCAGATATGCTAGAGCTTTTTCCCTTAAGAGGAACCTATTTTTCTGACTTGCAGAGTTGGGCTCCAGATCAGGAGCAGCCTTTTCTCCTCTGTCAATTTTGGCTTTTCTTGGCTGGGAGGTCCTGGACTCAGCACACCTGAACCATTGTGGAGGTCTCTGGTTACTCTAAAGAAATGTCTTCAGACTGAAAGCTATAACCCTTCCACAGAAGTCAGGCATGGTGCCACACACCTGAAAACCAGAACACTCTTGGCAGAGGCAGGAAAATTGTCGCAAATTCAAGGCTGGTTTGCGCTACATAGAGAGTCCCTGTCTAGAAACCACAAGACTTCACACTGGTGGACACAATATGGCTAAGTAGAGGGAGAGCCTCATCCAGAGCTACTGAGAGAGATTCAGCTAAATACAGGTAACTGGAAGAAACAGGAGGGACATGCACCCTGGAACTAAAATCAATCTGACATAAGAGACATAAGAGATCATGCCAAACATAGATAAGGGACTTAGCAAAACGGCAAGCCAGCCCACCTGGCTGCTGGTGGGTCATCGGATTGGGATGACCACCCCCCATACTTAAAATCTTAAAAGAAGAAGAAAAAGAAATATATTAAAATAATGTGGCTGTATCAAGCCATACAGGATAGACTCAGGATATAAGGCCACCTGCCTCTTCTGCCTTTCTCCAAACAGAAGATGCCATAGTCCAGCAGTAAATTCTGCCAACAGGAACTGCTGTCTCCTTAACAATTGGTTATGTTTTCTTTTCTTTTGTCTTTCTCCTCATCATTTCTATGCACCAGAGCTCTAACTGGAACCACCAGGAATAAGATTAAAGACTACAGGGGTGCATAATGAATGGAACAGCTAACTCTTTTTCTATGACCTGTGAAACTCCTTTCCCCTGTGATCTGTGGTTAGAGAAGCAGGAATTAAACAGCCCTACACCTTGGGACTGTGCAGCCCCAGGCTGTCCTCACAATGCCAGGGATAGAAGCAGAAAGGCACTCCACAGTACCCCTCACCATCTCACCTGAGGAAGTTACAGACAACAGCAGAGGCAGGTGACCATGGCAGCAAAACTTTTAAAGCAGTTAATGAATGGAAATTTAGCAGCCACCTCAGGAGAGGAGTAAGAACTGGAACTGAGCAGCCTTGGACTGCAGTGGCAGCAGCAGAGGACCAGACTGTATCTCAGCATCCCACCCCACCCTGTAATAAATGACTTGAGAGGGCAGAGACTTGCCAGGGAAAGAGGAACACAGAGGGCTGAGCAAGGACTGGGAGGAGCCAAGGTGCACGAACTGGAAACAGTACCCTGTCTCTATCTGAAAACAGTAGAGCAACTGTTAGAGAAACTCTACGAAGAGAAACAGGGCAATGAGTGAGAGGCCATAAGAGACATACAGAAATTCCTGGCTGAAGACTCTGGCCCCAGGCCTCCACATCTGGATGCCAAGGTCGGCATCAAATCTAGTACAGACTCTACTGCAGGCTGGGCCATGTTATCCAGGTAATTTTTGACCCTTGGTGGACACCAGAGGAATTTCCTCCTCCTTCTCTTCCTTCTCTTCCTTTCCCTCCTTCCTCTTTCTCTTCTTTTTTCTGGTTTGTATGCCATTCCTTGTCCTTTTTTTTTTTTTTTGTCTTTATGTTTTTGTTCCAATCTATTCTTTCACCCTTTCCTCAATTTATCTGTCTAGACTTAATCATATTTTCATGAGTGAATAGCCTCTCTAAATTTTATGCTCAGCTTCAGTAATCCCTTGCTTACTCCTTCATGCTTTCTTCTGCCCTTTTCTCTAGTTTCCCAGAACTTGCATGATCACCCTTCATCCTCCAGCCTGGTTTCTGCTTTATTTCATTTCAGTTTTCTCTATTTTGTCCACTAATCCTCTTAAATTTCTCCACCACAAGGTACAAGCACTCTACAAATGGGTAAGACTTTGCATACAAGCTCCCAGTTCACAACTGGTTCTGTTAGATAACTGCAGGTCTTACATCTATGGTTAAAGGTACAAAACGAATAGTTATCACAATTTGTCAGTTTCTGAACTGTGCATGATGCTGTTATCAGTGTTAATTATACTTCTTTAGCTAGGATCATACCTGTTTTAATTAGTTGTCACTTCTGGAACAACACAGCGAAGTTCTGGGGTAGTAACCTCACCACACCCTACCACCAAAGGACTAGGAACTGAGCCAAACAGGTACCAGCATCTCACTTTTAATTAATTGGAAAGGTAGGTCTTGGGACAGACACAAATAAAGAACCTCTTGCACACAGAAGACATCCTGAAGAATAAACCTTGATACTAGTGATGTAGCTCCCTACCACAAAAACTTACAAAGATCAACACAGAAAACAAAATGAAAACTTCTGAAATAGAAAATAGCAAAACACACAAGCAAAATGCAACCTCAGACTGCCAGCCCACCCTGAAGGAGTCCAGGAGACAAAAGGGATAAAGGAAAATGGAAGAGACACACCTGACATTTCTGAAATGATAGCAACCAAAGTAAAGAGGCAAAACTCCTTGAGGCTACAGAGGAATTCAGATCAGAAATAATTGCTCAGGTAAAAAAATAAATGTCAGTGTTTATATAGGAATTACTTAACAAATCTAGATTTTAAAAAATAGATGATGAGAGGAAAAGGATGGAAACTCTGAATAATAAATATAGGAAAGAAATAGAGTTCATGAAACTGATTCAAACAAATATCCAGGAAATTAAAAATTCCATTGAAAGCTAGGAAAA